GTCCCAGGCCAGTCTCCATGGAGATCTCACCTGCCCACTTCATCCAGAACCCCCAGTGGTGGTTATGGGTCAGATGGGCTGGGGTGTCTGGGCAATGGGGCTGGGGCTGGTGATGGTGGTAACCCTGGCAATGGCAGATGGAAGGAGCCACTGCTGTAGGGGATGCCAGGAAGCTGAGTCCAGCTGCAGTTCTGCCTCAGTCCTGCTGCATGCCTGGGGGTGGTGGGACCTGCAGCACGTGCCACGCACGGCCTGGGCAGCTCCCCCCGCACCTGGCCAGGTGGGGCTGAAGGACCTGCCACAGGCCAAATAGAATCCCTTGGTGGGCTGAATCTGGTCTGCGGGCCATATTTTCCCCTCCTGTGCTCCAGACACTGCTTTCTGCAAAAGTTTGGAGTCACAGCAAGACTTTCTCACTCCTTACCTGCTGTGAGGAAAGAACCTTATGGGAGATGCTGCCCTGAGCAAGACTCATGCAGAGGGTTGGAGAGGCTTTCCATGTCCTGGTCTTTCCTGTCATCTCTTGTGATTAGCCCCCGGCAAAGCAGTCAGAGTAACAATGTACATAACCAAGCCCTTTCCATCAAGGATTTCAACAGCATGGCATAATCTTGCCTTCATTAAGCCCCACCATGCCTCTGTGAGGGAGGTAAATGTAGATATGTCAGTTTAACAGGAGAGGAAACCACGACTTGAAGAAGTTCAGTGAGATAACCAAGACCACACAGTAAATCAGCAGCAGAGGCAGGCATCCTCACTCCATGCCCCTTCTTACCACCACTTGACACCCTCCCCCCCTATTCTGTGAGTACATATATGAGCGTCCAGTTTCTCATTGCTTACACACATAAGCTTCTTATACTTCCTCTGGCTCCCCATGTCTTTACTGCATCAGATTCAGTCTTCCTGCCTTTACTGTCTTCACAGCAGACACTTCCCCAAATTTTCACTTGGACATGCACTCCATTCACATGTCAGCTTTGCAGTACTATACAGCACTTTGTACCTCGACTCCTCAGACAATTTATTCACCCAGTCTCCAGAATCTCAGGTCCTGCTGTAATGGATAGGATGCAATGTGGTCTTCTTTGTCTGATGTCTATGATGATAAGCTTCTTGAGGCAGGGATGGTCCCTTGTGATGTAGTGGTACATTCATACTACATAAAAATGAGCCTCCAGTTTTTGGTAAAGTCTCTAGGCACTACTATCATATAAATGCTATAACAGATCAGCTCATTAGTCCATTCAGTCTGCAGTGTCTTAGTTCTTGCTGTATCAGGCAAGACTGTTGCTTCTATAGAGTATTACTTTTCTACTGCTGTTGGCCAAGAACTGATTATGCACTCCCACCCATACTGTTGCTGGTCACTTGTGCTTTATTGTATGTGGGACAAGGATCCTTCATGACTTCTCTGGGCATTAGCTTAGGACAGGGGTGGGCAAAATATGGTCTGCGGGCCAGATGTGGCCCACCAGGCCATTCTATCCATCCCGTGGGGCCCCTTAAAATTTAGAAAATTAATGTTTATCTACCCCTGGCTGCCTGTCATGCGGCCCTCAATGGCTTGCCTGGTCCTCCACCCAAAATAATTGCTTGCCCCTGGCTTAGGGTTTGTCAGTAATTTTCATCACATCTTCTAGTTTGGGCTTCAAATGTTATTGATAGTCATGAGATTGTCCATTCTCTCTTTAAATCAAAACAGGATTATGGCAGCATGGTCTTTTTGGGCACTGACTACCCAGACTAAGTAGATGCCTACTTTATCTTTTGTTTTTCTATTTAGTTCCTTCCAGACCCCACTCCTTTTGTTATGAATCAGGATGAAAGAAAACAGCGAGGTCTTAACAAATGGGGAAATGGTAAATGAGAATTTTTTAACAGCTCCAAGTTCCATGTCTTTCATGCAAGTCAACCCAGGACTTGATTCAAATAATTTCTGATGAACATCCCTGGGATTTGCAGTCCCCAGTCTCTCCCAAGCCACTTGCCTGACTTCCCTTACTCACTCCACAGAAAGGTTCACTTTTACTCACTGTTGATATGTCAGCAGGTATGCTGAACAAACTGAACATGACAAGTCTGGAGTCTCTCCTCTAAGAAGTTACTATAAGTTCAGAGCCTGTCCACATATGCAGAGAAGTGTAGCTTATCATTCCAAAGGTGTGCTTCCTTTTAGTAATCTAAGTTAAATTTAGTCTCCTACTGTGTTGCCCTACTGCCAGCTGCATTACATCCTCCATAAAATTTCCCACATGCATCAGCAGGTTTTACTGATCTAAGTAGTTTTGTGCCATCTGCAAAGTTCACCCCCTTGGTGCCCAGATCATTAGTACATGGTCTCCTGTTTCCCATTCTTTTATTCACTCTTTCATGTTATAAAACATAATGGGAACTTTCTGAAAGCTTCTGAACAGGTCTGGTATGTGCTTCTTTCTTTTATGGCTCAAGTACAATAGAAATCTCAGATACTGACATGCTTCTTCAGTATGAAATGTACATTTGAACTATACACATATCAAGGAACATGCCGCTGCTCTTACAGAATATGCTACAAGGTGCCCAGAAACCCCAGGGGAGAGTCAGGAGCCTGGCTACAGTGCACTGCACAAGAAGAGTGAGGGAGTGAAGGAGAAAAGAGTCAAGGATAGGAATGGAAGTGACGGGGTCAAAAGGTGTGTGGTCTGAGGTGGAGAGTGGGGCTGAAGGTGAAAGGTGAGGCAGAGTCCTTTATTTTGAACTCTTTGGGGTAGGGGCCTGGCCTTCACATCTCTCTTTGATGCACCTGGCACACCACTGACTATACAAATGAGCAATGATAGGATGTAAGCTGGGATGAGTGGCACTGGCACTTCAATGGAGGGTCTGTTTAACACTCAGTGGGTGCGTCTATACACGCACCTGACTGCGCATGGGTTGTTCTGACCCTACTGTGCAGTATCAATGAGCTACTTGCTGCTGCACAGCACCGTACCTAGACTCCTGGTGGCCCTGGGTGAACTTTAAGTATCGGGCCCCCCTTCGCCAGAGATATTGATAATAATAGTTTTAAAATTACCATTTTCGGGCTCCCTTTCTGTTTGGGCCTGGGGCAGCCACCCGGTTCACCCATGTCTGTGCCTGGCCCTGCTGCTGCGCAGTTAGCGTTGGTGGTGTGGTTTGTGCCCACCAATGCTGTGTTGCTGTAGCAACAAGCTACATCACCGTAGCTCGTTGCTACAACAACATAGCATCTTATGTAAAAGTGCCCAGTCCCTCAGTGTTGGGGGAGGGAGAGCCTTTGTTACTGGTTGTTCCCTTTCCATATTCAGAATATATATTTTCCTTGCTCTGGACTTTGTCCTCGTTCACAGGCTGTACTGAACACAGATGTAACATTGGCTTTTTGTTCACACCCTAATTTGTACTCTTAGTTCTGAGGACGGGTTGCAGCTTCCTGTGAAGCAGAAGCACTGGGACAGAGGGAACCATTTTCCCCCGTGGCTTCTCCAGAATAGCAATGCTTGGCATTTTGTTTCGTTAGGGTTTTTTTACCCCCTCAGGAACAAAGTTGCAGATGAAGCAGCCTGGTCTAGGGGACAGCCTTCTGCACTGGGGCCCTGTTCCCAGCTCAGCCACTGACCTGCCATGTGACTGGGCCCATCACTCAGCTTTCTCTGCTCCTGCTTCCCTTCCCTCCCTTGTCTGTTTATAGTTTCATAGTTTCTAGGGTCGGAAGGGACCTGAGCAGATCATCTAGTCCAACCCTCTGCCATGGCAGGAAAGGGTACTAGGGTCAAACGACCCCAGCAAGGTGTTCATCTAACCTCCTCTTAAAAACCCCCAGGGTAGGAGCCTGCACCACCTCTCTTGGAAGTTGGTTCCAGACCCTAGCCGCCCTGACCGTGAAATAGCGCCTCCTGATATCTAGCCTAAACCTACCCTCTGCTAGCTTGTGACCGTTATTCCTGGTCACTCCTGGCGGTGCTCGGAGGAACAGTGACTCCCCCAATGCCTGCTGATCCCCCCTGACTAGTTTATAACAGGCCACAAGATCCCCCCTCAGCCTTCTCTTTTGGAGGCTGAACAGGTTCAGGTCCCGTAGCCTCTCCTCATA